GTGTGTGTGTGTGTGTGTGTGTGTGAGAGAGAGAGAGAGAGAGAGAGAGAGAGAGAGCATTCTATCTTCAGGCCTGGAAGGATGCCTGCTCCCAAGTATGCACTCAAAAACTATTTGTGAGATGGGTGAATGAATGAAATATATGTATTTCTCTCTAAAATGAGAGTCCATAATTGTCACCTCTTGCCTATTCTATGGCTACAACTTCTGGAGAGACTGTAAAATGGTCCCAGTTCTTTGCAGCCTCTCCCGTGAGAGGCAAAGTCGCTCTCTCCACCTCCTGGTTCTGGGCTGGCCCTCGTTACCTGTTTTATCCAAAAGTGACACTGAGTTCTAAGCCTGGGCCTCACGAGGTTTTGCACACTTCTGGTCTTGTAGCTTTTACCCATCACATGAACAAGCCAGGCTAGTCAGGTGGATGGGGACGGATGTGTGGCCAGGTCACCCTTCTCAATGACAGACCAGTGGTCTGTGTAGCTGGGTTAGCTGGCGTCCAGCCAACCCGCCAGCCAAGCACAGACATGTGAGGGCCCGCACAGCAAAACTACCACGGTGACCTACAGACTTGGAGCAGTAAACGGTCACACGTGGTCCCCTAGGTTTGGGGGTATTTGTTCTCTCATTTTGCCTGTCTTTGTGATTTCCCTATCTGAGGGGATTTCTCTTACTTATGCTATTACATTTGATTTTCTCCTGTTAATCTGTCTCGTGTCAATTTGATTCTTACTCCAGCTGGAAGGACCTTAAAGGAGACAGGAGTTCTTGCTCCCTCTATCGAAGGTCTTAAGAACCCAGGCTCTGGAGTCACACAACCTGAACTACAATCTTGGCTCATCAGCTGTGTGACTTTTGGGAAAACACTCAACGTCTCTGGGCTTCAGCTTCCTATCCAACCCCACCCCCACTCCCATGATAGTTTCTTTTACTTTCCCTGAAATTGCCTCTAATCCTGGGCTCCAAGCTCCTGGGCGGGACACTTCTTATTCCTCTTTGTGCTCCCAGAGATGAATGCACTGCTCAAAAAGACTTCACGAATCCCCGTCTCCGTCTGCAGCATGCGTTCTCAGCTGGGGTAAAAATTGGTTCTCAGTTGGTAAAAAAAAAAAAAAAAAA